CGACCGGCTCGCTACTCGTCTTGCTACCAGTCACGTCCGCAGAGGCTGCTTCTACAAGTTCAACATTTATTAATGCGATAAATGATGAGAACGTTTGGTATTTGGTGGTTAATTATCTGAAAGAGATACTTCAGACAAATTCAAATCTCCATATTCCTAAACCATAGCCCGAAATTTTCACAAAAATCTAATACCGAAAAGAGGTATGCGTCCAGGCAAATGGGATAATGCAGTAGCCTACGCAAACGGAAGTAAAAAAAAACAGGCCATGTTATATAAGCAGTGAACAGATCAATAATTCCTTGCTCGTCTGGGACAGTCGTAAACAACGTTGGACCTTTTGAAGAAAATTCTGCAAAGCTCTGGCATCTACCTCGACTTCCCAACAAATCTATTTATCTTGATTCTCTTCATTTTCTCCTTTCCATTTTGCAGATCAATATATACTCATCCTGATCTTTCTTAAAATTCTCTTTATTGCTTCACTTCCATACTCCATATCTTAAATATGTTATAAATGAGATTGTCAAGTGCAAGGTGCACTAAAAGTAATGCCCTCAGAACGTGGAGGAGCTGTTGAAATTTCACAGAGGAGAGTCTCTTAGGGATGCATAGAATTTTACAGAAGCATCATTCCCTTACATTCATTGGCACAAGTCTTGAATATTTTTCTAATATCTGTTACTTATTCAGACTGACTCCCTAGACGCAGATGCACTAAAGTTCTTCCTACGCATACATTTCTTGGTTTACATTTAAAGGGAAACCTACTTTTGTTATCTTGCATTTGCTTGGAAACTTTGGCTTTATTATTCAGTGGACTATGCTGCGTATCACTCGGAATTATTTGCAACATTTTCATGAAATAGAGTAAAACAGAAGCTGAACTGTTTTGTTAATAATCATTGACCTGACATAGTCTATTTGCATAACATTGGATTTTTCATTGCAACATTAAAACTTACAAAGTTTCATCCTCAAATGTAATGTTTAGCAATTTAATGTTCTTGAAATTGTAACATCAATTTTCAGTACAACTATTGAACTACGTGGAATATGAAATTGCAGGAAATAACTTTAACAGCTTATCCAAATATTATTCAGCAGTTTATCACAATCGGTGATATTACTTTTTCTATTTGGTTGGATGATTGAATTTTCCATCAAATATTGTTACATTCTGCTTAAATATTTGCAGAATCGTTATACGCCAGGGTAAATTGAATGGATGCCAATATTTCTGTCCATATAAAGATTCGATTGGCCAGCAAAACGCGAAAGGACGAACACGGTACAATTTTATGGCACACATAACTCTGTTTTTTATCGCGTTGAGCAACCTTTTCCTCTCAATGAAGTTTCACCTCGAAAACTCTTCTCATTTCTTTGCTTTTCCAAGGAACACCTTGACCTATGTTATTTCCACAAAATGAAAAATAAAAGAAGTAGTTTATTGTCAAATATGGCTGCCAGTTGAAGCAGGATAAGTTCAAAGTATTTTCCTTCCTTTATAATACCTCCTATGGGTTTAAATTAAACTTCAACATAGTAAACCTTTTCCGAATTAAAATGAAATTACAAAGTTAATCTTTGAGATTTCCACGAACACAAACATAAGATGTTTAACGTCGGGAAGTGAATTTGTAGTAATATTTCAGTTATGAAGATTGCGCTCATTTGGTCTCATGGGGTTGTAGCTGAATTCTCTGGAAGTTTTTACCAGTCCGGGTACAAATTCAGCAGTTTGTTAGCACAGAAAATCAGTATAACAGTATTTGAGCTGGCTGGTAGTTGATGTAAAACGTTTACGTATCCGTAAGGCGCATCGAGTGGAACGGTCTCTAACTTGCACACACCATTTCCGGTGGACGTGGAGTTTGCACTAGACTCCACAACTTGTAATTGGGTCATTTCGATGATGCTATACCGAATATTCGATTCGTCGTCCCGAGTTTGCATGCTCGTGATGGCATTACCGTGTCAGATTTAAAAAGTCCTTTCGCACAGCTAAGAAACAGAAATACCAAATGTAACCACTCTCTTCCAATATTTTCGTTAAAATAAACAGCAAGATTTTAATATCCAATTTGTCAAACTTCACCGCCGAATAACCAACAATTTAACCGATGAAAGTCCTGAATGAAAGAAGATAATGATTCATTTGAATGATAATATTGAAAACGGGTTGTTGGAGTTTATTCAAATGATGTCCAAGCCTGGCTTAAGCAATTACCTCCTCTATTTGTGTTCGCATCGTGGCAAACGTGTTTTGCATTTCGTTTCCCTTGTTTTCTGCTCGCTGCACGTGACGCTAGGTATTGTAAAACAATTTTTATCGTTTGAAAAGCCTTGTACTGCTCCGCGCTGCATTTCGTTCTGTTTTATCACAATAACTTACTCGGCTAAGCCAACGATACCGAAACAAAAGCGTCGGTGGAACGGCTAATGAAGCTTGCATCAAGTCGGACTTCGGATGAACTTGAACTTATTTGAGATCTTGGCAGAAAATTGGGAAAATTGAAAGCATTGAAACTTGGTGGAGATTTTATGATACTATAAATAAGATTGCTGGGCTCTGAGATAACCGGAGCAAAGCAGAAAACAGAACTTGAGTATTAAGTGTTAGGATACAAACTATGTTACTGTCTTTTAATTTCTGGGTTCCCTAATCAACATAATGAGTAGATCCTGAGCTTCCTCCATTGAGTCCAACATGAACTATGTTATTGTGTTTCAATTCTAATTTCTGAGCTCCCTAATCAACATAATAAGGAGTAGATCCTGAGCTTCCTCCATTGAGTCCAATATGAACTATGTCAGGATAAGTTCAAAGTATTTTCCTTCCTTTATAATACCTCCTATGGGTTTAAATTAAACTTCAACATAGTAAACCTTTTCCGAATTAAAATGAAATTACAAAGTTAATCTTTGAGATTTCCACGAACACAAACATAAGATGTTTAACGTCGGGAAGTGAATTTGTAGTAATATTTCAGTTATGAAGATTGCGCTCATTTGGTCTCATGGGGTTGTAGCTGAATTCTCTGGAAGTTTTTACCAGTCCGGGTACAAATTCAGCAGTTTGTTAGCACAGAAAATCAGTATAACAGTATTTGAGCTGGCTGGTAGTTGATGTAAAACGTTTACGTATCCGTAAGGCGCATCGAGTGGAACGGTCTCTAACTTGCACACACCATTTCCGGTGGACGTGGAGTTTGCACTAGACTCCACAACTTGTAATTGGGTCATTTCGATGATGCTATACCGAATATTCGATTCGTCGTCCCGAGTTTGCATGCTCGTGATGGCATTACCGTGTCAGATTTAAAAAGTCCTTTCGCACAGCTAAGAAACAGAAATACCAAATGTAACCACTCTCTTCCAATATTTTCGTTAAAATAAACAGCAAGATTTTAATATCCAATTTGTCAAACTTCACCGCCGAATAACCAACAATTTAACCGATGAAAGTCCTGAATGAAAGAAGATAATGATTCATTTGAATGATAATATTGAAAACGGGTTGTTGGAGTTTATTCAAATGATGTCCAAGCCTGGCTTAAGCAATTACCTCCTCTATTTGTGTTCGCATCGTGGCAAACGTGTTTTGCATTTCGTTTCCCTTGTTTTCTGCTCGCTGCACGTGACGCTAGGTATTGTAAAACAATTTTTATCGTTTGAAAAGCCTTGTACTGCTCCGCGCTGCATTTCGTTCTGTTTTATCACAATAACTTACTCGGCTAAGCCAACGATACCGAAACAAAAGCGTCGGTGGAACGGCTAATGAAGCTTGCATCAAGTCGGACTTCGGATGAACTTGAACTTATTTGAGATCTTGGCAGAAAATTGGGAAAATTGAAAGCATTGAAACTTGGTGGAGATTTTATGATACTATAAATAAGATTGCTGGGCTCTGAGATAACCGGAGCAAAGCAGAAAACAGAACTTGAGTATTAAGTGTTAGGATACAAACTATGTTACTGTCTTTTAATTTCTGGGTTCCCTAATCAACATAATGAGTAGATCCTGAGCTTCCTCCATTGAGTCCAATATAAACTGTTACCATATTTTAATTCTAATTTCTGAGTTCCCTAATCGACATAAGAAGTAGAACCTGAGTTCCATGGAGTCCAAAATTCAAAGGCAGAGTTAAGAAACCAGAATAAATCATAAAATAGCAGGAACTTAGATTCCCATTGTTACAGCGAGCCAAGAATTTGGAAAATCCCCATTTTCTTCCAATTTATGTTCTACCATTTCCTAATACCCCTTTTCTCTCGATCTCGTAAACAATATTTCCTCTCGCGTTTGTTCGTCCTCATTCGACCGGCTTCCAGGGTGAAACGAGAGGGACAAAGGGAGACAGGGTGAACCCCGAATGATTATAGAGGGAGAAACCGCCAGCGACGAAGAAGAACATAGCAGCAGAGGTATATAACGGAGCAAGATGAAAGAAGGCAGAAATAAAAAAAGGGGCGACGAGGAGGACACAATGCGGAGGAGAGAAACGAGGCGAGTGAGAATTGAGAGAACAGAGTGCCGCTCGAGGAAAGGAGAACGGGGCAAAGTGGGAGGGGAAACGCACATACAGGGTGTTAAAAACGTACAAAAATGGGAGTGAAAGTCTTGTTGGTCACAAGTCGATGAATATTGCAGTTTTTAACTTATTGTTGGTATATTGTTACGTCTACTGCGTTCTAGACTGTTACTACTTTCCTGGAGACATCACTGTTATAACTCTTTATCTGTAAATCTTTATACATCCTCATTCTTACATCCTACATTTCTAAATTTTCCACCTTCCAAATTCACAAGCTTCCACATTTCTACCACATCCCTGTTTTCAAATCCTTGTTTTGAGGATGTCAAATGATCTCAAATGATCTCAATCACTATATTCCTCAGTTGAATGTCGAAATTTCCAAATCTATATCTCTGAATTCCACTGTCCTTAAATTCCTATATTCTCCAATTTCTACATTTTCAAATTTCCAAATCTCCAAATCCCTTTATTACAGCGCCACAGTATTCCTAAATCCCTACATCCCCAAATTCGTATAGCCACAAATCCCTCTATCCAAGTTCCTATATTCCTAAATCCTCATATCCTGGAATTTCTACGCTTCTGAATTTCCAAATCCTTGAATTCCTATTTTGTCAAGCCTCTATATTCCCAAATCTCTGTACTCCTGAATCCCCAAACTCTCATATTCTTTCTGCGTTTCTAAATTTTCTACATCTGCATCTGCAACTTCCTACATCCACGAACAGCTGGATTCATAGATCCTACAGATCCCTATCTTTCTAGTACCTATACCTTTACCTAGACCTTTATCTATATCTTTACTTATGCCTTTACCTACACCTCTAATACTATACCACCAGTTAATATTAATATATTATAAAGATTAAATTTCGCATGCTCTACTCATATAAGTAATTGTAGAAAGACCATTAGATGAAGAGGTAGAATCATAAAAAGCGACAAAATGGAGGAACATAGGTGGGTAGAAAGCAAAAAAAAGGGACAACGGAAGAAGTGATAAGAGAAACGAAGGGCAGGAGAAGAAAGATAAAGCAGTACACACACGGTCTGCCACGCTTTCTCCTTGACGCCGTTTTATCCGGAAGTAGGGGAAGAGGGAGAGCCGTAGAATCGATAACTGCCCCTCTGCCACGTCGAAAGGGGTCGCCGCCACCCTCCTGGCAGAGCTCTTAAAAGAGACGACAAGCTTCGAACACCAGGTCGTCCCCCAAGGGGGAAAACCGGCTGGCTGGAGACCGATGACGCCAACGATGACGATGGTCGTCACACTTTCTGGTGATTTTAAAGGGACTTTCAAACTCCTGCTGAGTCAGAGACAGCGCCACCCGAACAATTCCTCAATTCCTTTAATATATGCGGATGACGAGTATTCTGATTTAGATTTGAAAACCTGATTCAACTTTCTGGAAATCTAGTTTGGTGAATTTTGATCATTTGTAGCATCTGTGAATAATAAAATTGTACGTCGTATACAACCTTAAATGCTTCCTATTATTGATTATGTTAAGTATCAATAAAATATCGGTAATATATGAATAATCAATAACAGCGCCATTACTTCTTATCAAAGAACCGATAATAGCTTTTCACAACAATGAAGAATGCCATATGAACCAGCTCGAAGCAAATGGAAATGCGAATACAGAATTCCAATGATTTCAATTTGCGCGAGAATCTATCGAGAGGATAAATCATGAATGTTCTATTTCTGTTAACAACGGCCGAGCGTGAGGAAGTAGGACAACCTAGTGTTCCTAGATCCTGAATGATCGGTTCAACCCAGAACAGAACTTCGCGCTTTGGACAAGCATTCAATTAAGTCTGTGGTTATTCAGACTCCCCGCTAAAAAGGAAAAATTAATATTTTCATAACCAAATAAAAGTTGAGGTACCTCAAAATGCCCTTGGCAAGAATACTAAAAGCAAAGATTGGTCCTAAAATCTGGAAATATTTATCACGGTGTTCTACAACGACTACGGTTTCAGATTGGTCTGATGTCAGCTGAAAGTCTTGCGAAAAGAGGTTTGCTAATCAAGGAGTTTGTTTCAACGGAATCAGATAATTCATTTCTCCATCAGGTAAAAGTTTGAAAGACTGATACACATGCGAGAGGTAATTGAATTGCTAACCCAATAAAAAATACTTCAATTGAAGTCGCATTTTCATTGCAAACGAAATACTAGCTGATGTCATTTCGAGGAAAAAGCATGGATACGCAAAAGCCATCAAAGGTAACCCAACCTAACCGAAGGTTACCTAACCTAATCAAAGGTACTTCAATCAACCAGCAATCCTAAAGCTGTATTTCCACTGTAAATATATCAAATTCCAGGATACCGTAGCCGATACCATTTCGAGGAAAATGCATCGATACGCAAACCTATAGTTTAGCGTTTCAAAGAGGAGAGAGACGGTGAGAGGTGAAAAGGAACAGCCGCAAACGGGTTCAATGAACCCCCGTTTAATTACACGGGGCTCCACACTGGCTGCGCCACGCTGAAACGATACACCAGCTCGCATCTTTCAGGCGCTACCACGTTCTACCGATTAGCATGATCATCTTTATTAATTCGAGGATACGTTTCGCTGAACCGACAGTTCGTTTCACCGCGGAACGAGTGTAACGAAACCATCTACCTATTCCACCAATTTGTTCCTAACGATTAAAGGGTTCAAATCACGTCATTCGATTGAACTGATCGTACGTTACAGTAATTACGCGGAGAGATCATTAACGCCATCTGAAATCATGAAGCGCAATCGTCAACAACAGTTTGGGCGTGTACGTGTCCTGCTGGATCAGGAGTGTCGCTCCGGTTGGATCGTTGCCAACACTTGTATAATTCCTTGCTTTCAATCTTCTGTTCTGACCTGGTTGCCGTTTCCTCAATTTTTAGGGAATTGGATCCCCTAGGGACTAATGATGGTACTGTTGTACGGTCCCTGGCACCGTGTACAGAAATCGTAAAACTCTTCCAAGTAAAATATGTGGCAGCACTATATCCCTATATTTCACTATGTTCCTAAATCTCCACATTCCTGAGCTATCTCCCGAAGGCCATACATTCTCAAATCCCAAATTCCTAAATCTCAACATTCCAGCAGTATCACATTCCTAAGTCACCGCATTCCAAAGACCACACATCTCTATGGTTACCCTTATGTCTCCGAATTCAGGTCCCTAAATTCTCCAGTCCCCAAATTTCCAAATCTTCCTACGATCCTGAAGATGATATAGCGAGAATGTAAAACTCTTTAGAGGGCAAAGCTCTATTTACGACTTCGCTATATCGTGAGAAGTATACAACAATTGTAAATAAGTTGACTATCAATTTAATCCCACCCGGTATATATGCGAATACGCGTCGAGTCACTGATAACTATGCAATTTATAACTGTTCAACGGTACAGTCGATTAAAATGACAACTACACAACTGTCCTTCGGTCTGTCAGTCAATTAGAATAGTCTGTGCAGGACTTTTACCGATCATCGACGGTAAACAGAAGACGATAAATCTTTAAGCGTTTTGAAATATCACTAAGAACAGATTTTCATTGCTACTGCGCAGACCTCGAGTTTCACGAAAACCATCCTCAAAGGCTCCTTCCATAAATCGTTTATCCTCGTAAAGCCTGTTTCTTTACTTTTCTTTTATTTCTTTCTCGCATTCTTCAGGGCGTCCGATGAATTATTTATAAAATAAATATTCCTCTCTTTCTTCTGCTCGTTGATTTTACCGACGATCGGTATTTTCAGTTTTAACTCGATAGAGCTGCACTTCTTATAGTCCTATTTCTTCTCCTTTCTCTCTCTTCCTTCACCTAAAGAAAACCTAAGTATCAGTAATATGCTTTTTCTCAACCGTGGAAAAGCAAACGTGGCTAATTTTAGTCATGATTTCCATTCGCCTGCAATAAAACTCGGTAACGTGACGCGTGATCGGGGAGACCCACTTGTCGCGATTGACCACAAAAATGGCGGAGTCCAACCACCATGGGACACCGTGGCGACACGACATTACCTATGTGGGTAGAAACCCACCTAATTACGTAATTTACTGATCACTGACATATGAAAGCTACTCTCTAATTTTTAGAATGCTCAAAGTTTATTCTGAAATTGTAGTCAAGGATGCAAACAGAGGCACATTCAAACCTAACCTAATTTTTCTAATAATTCCAAAACTGTGTTTAACATTTTCCATCATTCTTAAGAAGGCTTTTGAACTGTTCAGACAATTGCTATACCTTGTAAGATATGATACAAATTGAGGGTAAAGGGATTTTGGAAATATAGGTATTTACAGAGATATTGATCTAAGGAGGATCCATAATTATAAGCATTCAGGAACGTGGAGTTAAGGGTAGGGATATATCAGCAACTATTTACCAGCAGATATAGCTTACGTTTTTCTGGTATAGCTTGTCTCAAAAATTTAATAAAAAATCAGTAACCAGGAACTGGTAATTTAATGGCCGTTTTCAAGGCCCCTGTAAGCATCGTTGTTTCACTGGCACACATCGACTGTATCTATAACCTGTCCCGCGTTATCGCGCCTTAATATCAGCCGGCTTATCGCTACCACTTGCGCTGCGTGACGCCTGCACGCATCCGCACACATGCGAACGTGACTGCAACCTGCAAGTTGCAACGCTTGGATTACATAACGCATCATTCAGAAACACGGTTGTTATGTGCACAAACTCGGTGTTTCGTAAGTAGCCGTGTCTAGGATAGTTAGCCTGAAGTAATAGTTCCTTCAGAATATTCACCTGACCAAAGTGGTAAAATTAGGGTCTAAGATCACACCGCATGAAAAATAATCGTAAATGATTTGATGACTCACCTCTGAGTGGTGCTGGTGGAGCCCTTTTTGGGTTGTCGTCCGCAGAGGGTGTTCTTTCCCTCATGCTTTCCTATGGGACCCCTTAGAGTCACCATTTAGGCGAATACATACACCACGTCCTCCTGAAATAAAAGAAATATACGTCAGACATATTCTTACACTGTTTTAATCTGTTAATACAATGTCAAGTATTGTTCAATGATATGGTAGTTTGTATAACTTTATCTAGTTCTAATTCCACAACACTGAGGTAATTAGAGACTGAGATAAGCCCTACATCCCCTGCATAAACTGGATCTTCCAGCATAGTAAATGGGGTGAACTGGGGTAAATCCAAGAAACCAAGTCAGGACCCTCATAAAAATTCTGGTTACGTCAATGATTCCATATTAAAATCCCACAGGGAATACTCAAAAGAAACACCTTTGATTCAAGACTATAAAAGCCATCATGATTAATTTCTTCCATTTTCCATAAAAAAGTACAGTGTCTCAAAAATATAAAAGTCAGTAAATTCCTTCCTTGTTGAAAACTTCTAAATCATCTAAATTCATTTCATACTTCAAACAAATACTTCCAGGACATAAAATGAGCAATGAAAATTCTATCACATTCGAGTGAACGTGTGAAAGAGACAGGTCGAAGAAAGATGGCGGTCATATAGCACATAAAGTGGACGCAGCGGATTCTGCGCGTCGGGCAGTAAAAAACGTAGCGGAGGACCTCGTATAATCGAGTAACAGTATCGTGCAGGTGATACGAAGTTACTAGTCACGTTCATGACGATACTTCGACAAGTATCGTGATATGCAAGCCGGTTAGAGCTTACCAGACCTGTCGTTCTGTATCAAGTCCGCGTAGGAGCAACAGTGATGCTCAAACAGGAATGACTACTGTATGTAATTCAAAAAGGACTTCTCAGTTCTTGGACAATGGTAACTAGGATATTTTGGGGTCCTCTAGTTCTATTAGGTTACTTCACACCAAGCATCTGGAAATCAGAAAATTTAGAATTTAATTGAAGATTTAGAAAGTAGTAACATATGAAGTGTATGTAAGCTAAATGTCCCTAACTGGGTGGGTTAATCCATATTAGGAAGGGTGGAGGGGAAGCAGCTCCACCCTGATTGCTACTTACACTAGTACGAGACAATAAGTCAGAAAAGTTGGTCGCCTTTTGGATGGAAGATAAACAATAATTTCAGCAGAAGCTGAAGTATATAACCACTGTATATACTGGAAGATACGTATTGTTTGAAGTATAGTTTTATCTCGGGTAATTCAGTCTTTTCCGATAACCACATAACCTAGAATTCCAATAATGTGCTACCCTGAATAACTGAACGCTCAGATAACCCTAGCCCCGCAATAGTTTCATACTATTCATAGTAATAACAACATGTTCAATATTTATACAAAATGGAACTGTGACAAAATTACATTCTGCAGTTAGAGAAATTCTTCAGAACTTAATTATGAGTACTTGACACCATAAGGAATTGACCTCATAACATGATAAAACGGTCGAAAACAGCGGTAAGTCTCTGCCTTTATGTCCGCAACCTTAGCCAGTGGTCCTCACTCGTTTCCATGGCTATCAATCTTTGTGAAACCGTGATTGAAACCACTCGTCAGAGACGTTCTTGCTTCTTAAGCCTAGATTACATTGATGTCAACGGCCTTAGCCACGTAGAAGTTACCATCACTCGCACAGTCTCCATGATATAGCAAGGTTGTAAATTAAACCCCTGTCAAACGGCGCCCACTGAAATAGAGTACTAAAACGAGTCGGTGCTGCACTAGCGCACTCGGTAGAGCTCCCTAGGGAAAATGAAGATGTAGCAAAACCTGAGAGTCGTGTGACATATATCACAGCGTGTGACAGAGATTTTTTTTCTTACCTTGCTATTTTCCTTAGGGAAATTTATCGTTAGTCTCCGTTAGATTCCACAGGATCTCTTACCACTCTTGCAAATTAGGTACGTGGTAATTCACGAGCGTTATAGGAAATAGCGAAGACTACATCGCTATTTTCCCTAAGGTATGTTCTCTAAGGCTAGAGTTCCTCAGGATCACTGAGGTACCATGGTTTTCTAAAGGCTTTCAGATCCTCAAATATTCCTCAAGGTCTTTAAAAATCTATAAACTTCGTAGGATCTAAAGATTCCCGATTCTAAGTGTCCTACATCTTTGTGATCCCTGGAGAAGCCTAAGATCCCTAGACTTTCTAAGCTTCCTAGCGAGAGAAATTTCCCCTGTACCACCTCTTAATCGAGAGTCGACACCTACCTGAACCTGGCACCCGACTTTCAAAAATTTTATTTCTTTCAATTGCATCGTATTTAGCATCGTTTGTACCCGTTTGTACCACCTTTGTTTTCGTTTGTACCCCAAGGGGTGAAAAGTTACTAGGGGGTGAAAAATACCCCAGCACCCCACTTTAACATTTTTTAATTCTTTCAAAGCCATCATAAAAAGGGACGTCCGTAGAGGTTTGTACCACCCTCACTTTCGTTTGTACCCCAAGGGGTGCGTTTATACCGCGTTTTGAAAGTACGTCCAAGGGGTAACTTCGCCATTTTTTGAGATATTCCAAATCTTCTTGCGGGTGCTGATTCCTAGTC